TAAGAAGTCAAGAACCCATTTTTGTGCTTTGTTTCTGCTGTTATGTGGAGTTTATTAGCGTAAAAGCCTTTTCTTTTCCGTTGGTCGTGTAGACGCTGCAGCTTCGGAAGATCCGCTCTTCGTGGAAGTCGAAGCCGTCGGTTGGGAAAGCGAGCAAGGCAAGTCACATCATCTTTGAACATATTGAATCCCAGTTTGTAAAATTATGTTGATTTAAATTATTGCATTATCGCTTTATTTAAATTCCCGCGTTATCACTGTTTTATTTAGCCATGCCTATTTACCTTTGTTATGACCATATTATTATTGTTATTGTTATTATTATTACCTTGTTCACCCTAGATTAAACAAAACCTCAACTAGTGGACACTCTACTCGTGGTATCCCTAGTTTAAATTTAGGTAGATGCTTCGCAATTTAATTAGGTAACATTAGGTGGTTTTATAACTTTAGACTTGGGAAATATTCATATCACCTGGACACTATGGAATTGTTGGATTATTGTGGAATTGGCTTCGCACCGCCCCCTCTATTCAAAATCCCCTAAAATGGTTTTAGGCTGGGCTCGGGGTGCATGGTTTTGATGGTAGCACCTCGGCCATATAAGGACCGGTCTTCGGGCCTCTGTTGCAAAGCACTACCGTACTTCCACATGTCTAGTGGGTAAGGCTTAGTTTGTGGCTCAGTCTAGTCATAAACAAAAGTACACGGATTGGAGATGGATGAAGTCGGGGGTCGATGGACATTCTCCAGGGCAAATGAAGGCTACACGAGCTGCGGCCCGGTAGTCGAGATGTCATATGGCAGAGGGTTGGTGCCCTGCTGCTAGGGGCTCAGTCCTGCCTGCCTGTCCCGGGGGTTCCGGCCGTAGGTGGGATTGGGTCGGTACTCTTGTCTATGGCTAGGATGGGTTGGAAACTATGTCACGTCTTCCGTCCGTATACCGTGGTGGTATGTGGCACGTGGTTACACGTGAGGAAGATGTGTCTTGTGGGTAAAGATGTACACCTCTGATCAGAGTATAATCTATTCGAATAGCCGAGCCCTCGGTTATGGGCAAGCCGAGCAATGTACCCAAGTTAGTGTTTTAATTCTTAAAACCTGCTTAACAACTAAAATATGGAATGGTTGGCCTGGGTTGGCTTAGGACGAGCTGGGACCCAGGGTCGGGTTGCCAGTTCGGTCTGAATCATCATAGGCCTTGGGTTAAGGCAGGTTCGTGTGGGTTCACGGCCTTGATTAATAACATTGTATAGTTCTAAGATCGTGTTTACAAAATAGCCCTGAGCAACTAAATGTCTTTAAATGCTGTTTGCTGCAACCCTAACCCTTTATGTTATAATTCCCTTGTACTCCCTTGCATTTATTCTGCATTTGTGGGTGTGTCTTGTTGAGTACGGTGGTTGTACTCAGTCTTGCTCAATTTTTCCCAAGCCCAGAAGAGGAGCTCCTTGAAGATGAAGGCTTTGGTGTCTAGCTCGTGCCTGCCGTCAAGTGCCTGTGGTCGTCGCCCTAGTCTTCCGCTGTTTTTCGTTTATCTCTGTGTGTGCTGGGCCTTCGCTGCCCATGTAATAAGTTAACTATTTACGCTTCCGCTTGTTAAACTCTGAATTGTATCAACTTTTGGTGTACCTTGCCTCCTGGGACAAGGATTAATGCACGCACGTCAGGAACGCCCGTTGGGTTATTTCCGGTCGTGACATAGACACCCAACAGCGGCGGCATAATAGGCTAGCCGTGCGGGCGGAAACATCAGTCGGCGGCGGCGAAGGCCAGCCGGTCGGTGAAGATGTAGACGCCCAACAACGGCGGCATAATAGGCCAGCCGTGTAGGTGGAGACACCAGTCGGCGGCGGCGAAGGCAAGCCGGTCGGTGAAGACGTGGACGCCCATGAACGGTGGTGTGACCAACCAACCGTATAGGCGAGGACACCAGTTGGCGGCAACAGAGGCAGGCCAGCGGTGAAGTCGTAGACGCCCAACAACGGCGGCATAATAGGCCAGCCGTGTAGGCGGAAACACCAGTCGGCGGCGGACGAGGCGGCCGGTCGGTGAAGACGTGGACGCCCATGAACGGTGGTGTGACCAACCAACCGTATAGGCGAGGACACCAGTCGGCGGCGACAGAGGCAGGCCGGCGGTGAAGTCGTAGATGCCCAACAACGGCGGCATAATAGGCCAGCCGTGTAGGCGGAGACACCAGTCGGCGACGGCGAAGGCAAGCCGGTCGGTGAAGACGTGGACGCCCATGAACGGTGGTGTGACCAACCAACCGTATAGGCGAGGACACCAGTCGGCGGCGACAGAGGCAGGCCGGCGGTGAAGTCGTAGATGCCCAACAACGGCGGCATAATAGGCCAGCCGTGTAGGCGGAGACACCAGTCGGCGATGGCGAAGGCAAGCCGGTCGGTGAAGATGTGGTTGCCCATGAATGGTGGTGTGACCAACCAACCTTATAGGCGAGGACATCAGTCGGCAACAGCAGTGCCGTGGCCATTACATATAAAACTGAGATGGTGAGGCCCCTCGGCGGCAGTAGAAGCAGCCAGAAGAAATCGGTCAGCAGGCCATGACGATTACATGCAAAAAAACCCAGATTGATCTGATTAGAAATACAAATCATATATGCTGTGTAAATTTGGGTATGCATGCATGCTTCTCGTCATCCAAGCCCAGGATGTGTGGTGTTGATTTGTCTGGCACACATGCATATGTTTGCATGCCCGGCCAGGACATAATTAGCGATGACCCAGATCGCGTGGTTTGAAACCAATCAGGAGGACGCGAGCATGAAGCCCCCCAAGCCCCAGCAGGGACAAGATGTATGCGTGGCTTGGTCGAGATCGCTGGCGATGTGCAGTACGGCCAAACCCGTCGATCATCCTGGCAGCGGCTAGCTTTTCTCGATCATCCTGGCAGCGGCTAGCTTTTCTCGACATGCAGTGGATAGCCAAATCGTCGAGACATGAAAACAAGGAAGATACCAGTGCATCAATCTGTAATTAGATTTCAATCCAAAGATGATAAATTGGAACGACAAACCTATATCTCTCTGTAGATTGATTTGATCGAAAGATGGTGTCAACGGCGGCGGATCTCATGCTACACAAGCGGAGCCGATGCCGGCGATTCCTGAAAATTGATTCCATCGCACTTTTCGACAAGGAACTCGACGCTTCCCTACCTGGCGCGCCAACTGTCGAAACATGATTTCGGCAATAATAAAACGGGGTAGCGCACGAGACCTAAAAGTAGATGGATGTGGAGACACAGGATTTAGACAGGTTCAGGCCCTCTCAATGAGAGGTAATACCCTACTCCTGTTTGGGGATTTGAATCCGCCGAGTGTGTATTGATCTGACGATCAGGTTGTCTCATGCCCCCTAGAGGGCCTCCTGCCCACCTTATATAGGATGGGGGGCAGGATAACAAGATAGAAACCTTAACCAACACGGTATCGGTTTCCTAAATCTACTTTACAATCTTATCAAACCAGGACTTTAGGCCGTTCCATAATATACAGGAAAACGTAATACCCAAGTCATGATCTGTTACATATTCCATACATATATGTTATCCCCTATTACTAGTCGGATAACCATGCCGTGTGGATATGGGGTACCCATAATCTCCACACAAACCATATCTGAGCGCAAGTTCTTTCTCAACTTCACTCAATATTACCACACGACAATATTACATACGTATACAAATCATATAGAAGTCATAAACACGAGATAATCACGAGTATCCAAATAAACAACCCGAAACCAACACTAATCAGAATCCAACTGGTTAGACCGTCGGGCTGGCCGGTCTGACCGACATCGCAACTCCGGTCTCACCAGCCACCAATACCCGGTCTAACCAGCTCCACACCTAGAGCAAAACATACTTCGCCAATTAGTCACTAAATATCAAAACAAATAATGTCACATTTGTGATCGTCCAGTGCTATTTGTGACCACCACATAATTTTGGATGAGTACTAGAATTCATACATGCATTAATAGTTACTAAAATCTCAATTTGTCCATGATAAAAAATCGACACCATTCGATATAAAATCCAAAGTGCCGAATAATGAGCAAATGAGATATTTATTGGATTTAGCTTACCAATCAACTTTAACAAAAGGAGATCAAATGTGTTACACACCTCAAGGGACTTGACTCAAGTTGCTAAAAATCCACAAACATCTCAATAGCCTAAAATTCATATTCATGTCTAGCTAGCCCCAAACAAGAGACTAACTGAACATTTTCATCAAAGCATTGGTATACAGTAATAAGACATAAAAATAATTTAACTTTAGATTACAACTAAAAGTAGTTTACATAGGCCAACCGACCAAATAATTAATTAGTGATTCGTGTGAAAGCTTATCTACCCAAGATCAATAAGCAAGCCGACTAGGGGTAAATCTCTAACCATACTGAAGAAGCAACAAAACATGCAGCACTTACCCCTATAAACTGTCCTGAAGAAGCAACTGAACCCGCATCACTCAGTTATCTGCATCAGAACTAAAAGAATACTAGTGTGATGTACTAGCAAAATACAAACCTAAATACATACAGCTCTAAATTCAAAGGATGGCTACATGTAGTATCAAATTTGCCAAAAGCTAGATTTGTTCCAGAAACATTTTTGAAAGGCGCTATGCGGTGTCAGTGGGACGAAGCAGCACGTCGCTTGTTGGGGAATCAGCCATGGGATGGTGCAGGCGGGAGGATGTGGTGGAGGCAACAGGACGCGAGGCGGCGTTATTGGGTAGTTCAGCACGGTGGTGGGGATAGCGGCAGTGTGCAGGACCAAAGACACCACAACGGTAGGGATAGCGCGAGCAAGATGGAGGAACATGTGACGAATCTAGTGATTTCACCTCGCATCGCAAGAGACAGCACACCTCGTCCATGAACAGCCGTTGGATCAAGGACCGAACAGCTGTGGAGTGAAAGGAGGATTTTTGTTTACATTTTGTTGGGTGGATTAGCAAAGAGTATAACTGCTTATTTCTATTTTAGTATAGAGATATGGTTAGGTTCGTAAGTGGACTGTTTGAGTCCACATAAGGTATCTGGTCCATTAATTGAACTCAGACAGCTCACTTATTTTAATCAGAACATTGTCACAACTCCTCTCCAACATATCAACCATCTACCACAAAGACATGTCTGATCATCCACATAATCAGTTGATGACTAGCACAGATCACACATATGGCAAATAGCATGTCATCTCAGGCCTACGCGATGGCGACGAGCTGCTTGCCAACATTGAGGCCGTTGTAGATCCCAATGAGTGCCGCCGGCGCCGCATCGAGCCCTTGGACAATGTCCTCCAAATAGGTCACCTTCCCTTCCCTCAGATACCCGGCCATCTCCTCCTCAAATTGGCGGTATACGGCGATAGAATCGAATATCACGAACCCCTCCATCCGCAATCGCTTGGTGATGATGTACATGAGGTTACGCACCCCCTCCGGCCTTTCCAGGTGGTACTGTGAGATCATCCCACACATTGTAATTCGGCCACCAAGCCGCATGTTAGGCAACACAGCATCCAACATCGCGCCGCCAACATTCTCAAAGTCAATGTCGATGCCCTCAGGGAAGCACCTAAGGTGAGTTGCCGCCAATCAGACAGAGAAAGCAATGTTAAAGTTTTGTCCCGTTTGGAACAGGAGTATTTCATTCTTTAAAAAAGGAGCACAATGATGCTAGAGTGGCATCAGTTTTTGTCGTGTTTGGAACAGACGAGGAAGTAGCACGGACCTCTTCAGAGCGGCTTCAAGGTCTGTCTCCTTCTTATAGTTGAAAGCGTCGTCGAAGCCAAATTTGGTTTTCAGCAGGTTGACCTGCAGATGCATGCAGCAGATGGAATATCTTCCATGATATAAATTAAGCATAGCATGGTTGGTCTATTATTTAATGGGAGCAAAAGCATTATGGCAGGGCTATCAATCAATCTTACATTTGATTTCCTAACAAATCCAATATTTTCTGCATGGACTATTAAGCTGCAGGTGCTAATGCACTACTCAACAGAACTATTTCCTAATTAATGGCAGCGAAACACCGCAGGAATAGGTGTTCATGACACAGGATTCCATCTACGGAACAAAATGCGCAGATCATGATGATGTTGTTGTAAAAACCTTGTCATCAGAACCAGCACTGCCAACCACATAGCAACCTTTGATCTTAGCAAGCTGCCCAACAATTTGACCTATGGCACCACATGCTGAAGAGACGAAGACATACTCACCTTTCTTAGGCTTGGACATCTCAAAGAATCCAACATAGGCAGTAAGCCCATGCATTCCTGAATATAAGCCCATCGTTGTTAAATATGACCACAAATAACTAGCAATGGCATGTTAGAAATGCATTGAAGCTACAAATTATGATATTTATGAGGTATTAATTCTTTTTTCTAATGAATTTAGCTACCTATTATTTTGTTAATTATCATTATAATTGTTAGGACATTTGGTAAAACAAAACGTTTTCCAGTCTGAATTTCATAAAAGAAAAATAGACCTATTATTAATGCATACTTAGATAAAAGGAACATAGTTACTGAAGAAATAGGAACACAAGTTCTTCTCAATTTGCAGCCAACTGAGGTAATTAAACACTTTGCTTGACATGGAAGGTGAGCGAGAGCAATTCCAAATTAGTTTGAAATGAATATTCTTGGCATGAATTTTACACTTTCATGAAAATTCATAAAACAAAATATATGGTATGATGATTTCTCAGGCACTGTAGATGACGATTTCTTTGAAACAAGATACTCCATCCAGTCAAATATATTTGACATTATGAGTAGTAAAACTAGTATTCCCAACGTCGAATCATTACTTAATAAAGCCTCGTAGGCCTCCTTTTTTCTCCGTTTTTCTCCTTTTTTTTTTCCTCCTTGTGTACTACTATGCTAGCTACTTATCGACTCTGCTCTTTGTCTGTGTGAACAGCTAGTCGGTTATGCTGGTTATTGCTTTAGCAATGGTTTCTTTTTCCCTCTCTGCTTTCCGGTTTTCCCATCGGTTGGCAATGATGCACTATGCGATTTGGGTTCGTTGTGTGTTGCTCTAGTATGACTACGACACGTGTTTTTCCATGCTTTTCTTTGGGTTTATTGGTTTCCTTGTGTTGGGAACTCATTTTCTCTGCACGGAAAACTAAGCGACTCATTAGTATATAATTAATTTATTGTTTTAAAAAATGGATACCTATTATTTTCTAAAACAACTTTTCTATAGTTTTTTTTTTGCAAACCATACACCGTTTAATAGTTAAAAAGCGTGTGCGTGGAAAATGAGGGAATTGAGGAGGGGGGGGGGGGGGGAAAGACAGGGAAGAACACAACAAAGTAGATTGGTTCAGCACTTCAGCCTATGGCCTGTTGCGTTGCTGTCACCAACCTACAATCTCTCCGGTGCATGTATTTTTGTTTTTTATTCTTGTTTTACTTGCATGCATGCTCAGAGCTGCTGAACGTGTCATAGTGCATGTACTTTTGTTTTTTTTCTCTTGTTTTACTTGCATGCATGCTAAGAGTTGCTGCCGTGTTGTCAGCTACTCCCTCCGTCCCAAAATAAGTGCAGTTTTGCACTATTCACGTTCAACGTTTGACCGTCCGTCTTATTTGAAAATTTTTTATGATTAGTATTTTTATTGCTATTAGATAATAAAATATGAATAGTACTTTATGTGTGACTAAATATTTTTAATTTTTTCACAAATTTTTCAAATAAGACGGACGGTCAATCGTTGAATGTGAATAGTGCAAAACTACACTTATTTTGGGACGGAGGTAGTACCTTTACTTTTCTCTTTGGAACGTGTCACAATGCATGCGTTTTTGTTTCTTATGTTTATTTGCCTTGCATGCAGGCAAAGCGGTTGTGCAGTGCTTCTTGTTTTGGTGATATCTGGCATTCCATGCTGATCCTTCCATTCTTTTTTCCCCTCTCCGTCTATATTTAGTTCTTGTTTTGGTGATATATGGCATTCCATGCTGATCCTTTCATTCTTTTTCCCGTCTCCGTCTCTATTTAGCTGCTATAGCTTGCGTTTCTTTCTTCTTCCATCTTTTCGGTCTTCGATTTGGTGCGTAGTTATATCCCCCTGTCATGGACGGTGGTTGATGCTGCCTGTGGTAGTTTTCCTCACGTATACACATGTCTTTTTACCCTTGTAAACTTTATATTTCTTGTCTTACTCCGCTCTGATTTTATCTTTTTTTTTTTTTTTGCCTGCGCTCCAATGACCAGGTGCTTTCCTGTTTTTTGGGTGAGCTACCTTTGTGGGTACGTTGTGTTGCTTGGCTGGATTTTTCTTTCTTCCTTTTTACGTCCTGCAGGTATTTTGTATTTCTGTTTCTTTTTCTTTTTATGTGCCTCTAATTGCTTGCGAATTTGATTATCCACTGTCGTATGGTTATTATTTTTTAAAATACTACATTTTCTTGATTTTACATTCGCAGGTAATTTGTCGACACGTTACTCTTTCCTTTTTTTTCTCAGTTTTACTTTACTTGTTTTTCAAATAGATCGAGTATGCTGGGGTCTATTGGCTTAAGGCCTCGGCGATCGGCCAAGCTGCGTTGTGTCCAGGTTGAATCAAACGACGAGTCGACTAATTCAATTTCTTTTAATGGTTGGTTTTCTTCTTTGCTTTCCCGGTTAATTAACCCTTCTTCCCCCGTTTTTTTTTTCTTTTTCCCCTCAAATATATTTTCCCCTATCTGCTCCGTGTAAGCTTGTCCTATTTGCTTCCTGTTGTGCTCTAACTGTTCCTCTTATATTTATATTTTTTAACCAGAAATGTCTGATCCATTGGTTCATCTCTTCATCGGCCTGACCGTCTATTCCCTTCCCGCTATTCTGGTAACCCTCTTTCTTTTCTACCCTTATTCTCTCTGCTCGGTTTGTTCTTTTTTTGGGTTCTATCAGAATTACAGCTTCCATTTGTCAAACTTTCTTTTTTGTTCTTTCATACAAATAAACGTTTGTTCTTTTATGTGTTTGTTGCTCTTTTTTCTCTGTTCCTTTGGGTTCTCCATTTAGTCGGAATTCGCTTTACACTTCTGTTTCGTCTTCTCAGGCGGCTTTAAATAGGAAAAGGAGAAGGCTTGCAATTATGCGCCGTTCATGTGATCTAGGTTAATAGGCCAGTATAAGTTTAATGCTTTCTCTTGTTAAAAAATATTCTCGAGGTACCATACTGCTATATTAATTTTTCTCCCCAACTATTCCAGGTTCACTGCTTACCCAATCATACAGGACAACCAATAAGCTACAATGGAAAAAAAGAAGGAGAATATCTGTTTAGCATCCTACTCCAGCCGTCCCAATACTCTAAATAACATTTTAATACATATGAAGCATCAGATAAATTATGCTTCTATTCGCTAAAAAACCATGTAATGCCCTTTAGCACAAGTTCAGTTAAATAAAGAACTATATCAAGTTCGAGTAATGTATCACCGTTTCTTTACTTGTTTGCATGTACCAAACACTGGTGGAGAAACCATCTTTGATCGGTCGACCCAAATCTACAATAGTCCCGGTTCCATTTAAAACCGGGACTAAAAACGATTTTTAGTCCCGGTTTATAAGAACAACAGGACTAGATGATCTTTATTCCCGGTTTGTATGACCAACCGGGACTAAAAATCATCTTTAGTCCCGGTTGGTAATACCAACCGGGACTAAAGATGATTTTTAGTCCCGGTTGGTTCCATGTCAGACCGTGTCAGGCGTTTAGGATCTTTAGTCCCGGTTTGTAACACCAACCGGAACTAAAGATAGAATTTTTAGTCCCGGTTGGTGTTACAAACCGGGAATAAAAATCAACACGTACTATATAATCCCTATTACTTATCCTCTTTTCTCGTCCACACAACAAACTCTCTCTTTCTTTCTTCCTCTCTAACTCCTGCCTTATCTCTTTCTTCCTTCCCTGCTCTTTCTTCCTTCCTCTCTTCTTTTTGGATCGGGCGGGCCGGGCGGCGGGCGGCGCGGCCGACGTGGCGGCAGCCGGCGCGCGGGGCCGCGCGGCGGGGCGGCGGCCGGCGCGGCACGCGGCGCGGAGGGCCCCGGGGCGGCGCGGCCGACGGGGCGGCGGCCGGCGCGGCGGGGCGGCGGCCGGCGCGGCACGCGGCGCGGAGGGCCGCGGGGCGGCGCGGCCGACGGGGCGGCGGCCAGCGCGGCGGTGGCGCGCGGGGCCGCACGGCGGGGCGGCGGCCGGCGCGACGCGCGGCGTGGAGGGCCGCGGGGAGGCGCGGCGGCGGGCGGCGGCGCGGAGGGCGGAGGGCGGCGCGGCGGCGTGCGGCGGCGCGGCGGTGGCCGGCTGGCGCGGAGAGGAGGCGGCAGCAGCCGGCCGAGCGGCGCCTCTGTGGTTTTTTTTTAAGAATTTGTGATTTATTGCATGATCCTGTGATGTATTTGATTTGTGTGTGATGTGAACCTGTGATGTATTTGCGATGAATTTTGTAGAACTTGTGATGTAATTTGATTTGTGTAATTTTTTTTAGGATTTGTGATGTATTTGATTTATGTGTATAAGTAACTTAAAGATTTGTGATGTGGATTTGGGATGTTACTTTGATTTGGGATTTGGGGATATGCATCCCACTTGATTCGGGAGAAAATAAAAAAGAAAAAAGAGGACCATCTGTACTGCTGTTATTCCCTCTTTAGTCCCGGTTGGTAACACCACAACCGGGACTAAAGATAAAGTATCTTTAGTCCCGGTTGGTGTTACCAACCGGGACTAGAGATCGATTTTTACTCCCGGTTATTTCACCCGGGACTAAAGATAGCGATCTTTAGTCCCGGATTCGTAGTCCCGGTTGAAAAACCGGGACTAAAGGGGGGTTACGAACCGGGAGTAAAAACCACTTCTCCACCAGTGAAAGAATCCTTCAATCACTTAAAAAACGTAAATAAATAACCCTTTTAAGATACATCATCTCTGTTTTCCAAGGAGGAAGTAGTATACACACTGACAAGGTGAAAGTGAACTTACCCAGAACACCAGTGTAGTTGGAAAGAGGAAATTCAGGGTAATTGATCTTGAAAAGAGACTCCGGATTATTGATTAGAGTGTATTCTTCCCATCCGGTCATCCCCCAAACAAGGTCGCCGGCCTTGAAATCCAGGTGCCCAGATGATATCACCTTCATCACGCCATGACTTGTCACAACCTTCAAGTTTGCAATGAGGAAAGCACACATATTTGAGTGAATACAGAGAGATGTAATGTTCATTTCAGACTCCATTTCTCGACAGCTAGTTCACTTACCCTGCTCCCAATAGTCATTGGACAATGGGATCAGTTTACAAAAAGAAAACAAAACTGGATTCAGATATTGGACAAAATTAGTCCCAGAAAAGAAATACAGTAGAGATTTGCAACAGGGAATCTGGAAAACATTCAGAGTCAAACATCCTTAGGAAAAATTATCAGTTTCGGTTTCATAAAGAAGTCTTGAAATGAATGTCAGATAGAAGTTGTAATTGAGGAATAGCTTATGGCCACAAATGATCACTACAAAGTAGATATTCAATTATAAGGAGTTTATATTGTGACATTATACAAATCATTACCTCTCCTGGGACAAAGTCCGAGATGTAGGTGGGCACCTCATGGCGGATCATCCGGTTGCGTAGGTAGGGGTCGCATGAAATGTATAAGTTCTTCACCAGCACCGCAGATGACCCTGCCGGAACAGATAGCGGCACTGCCTCTGCCGTCACCACCTCCATTTCATCCCCCAACTGGCCGATCTCGCATGCCGTCAAGTATCTCTTCAGGATCACCCTCTTGTTGCTAACTGCCACCAACGCCATTGCTCAGTTGCTCACACTTCTGATGGTTGGACCAGATTGGGTGCTTCTTTTGGGAAACAACAGTGTCAGATATATATGGACTTATGAAGAGGCATGTACTCCCTCAGTTTTTTATTATGTAACACTATTTCTTCCGCAAACTGTGACCAATAATATAATATTTATTCAGTTACTTAATTAAGTGAAATGGTCATAGCACCACTGTATTTGTCACTTGTCAGCAACGGTACTTACTTTAAGCATGTACGGTATATTTTGCTATTTGCACAAATATATTTTAATAGGACGAATAGTCAAACGATTGACTAGTAGTAGGAGATGTTGAGTGGTGCAGTTCTTCTCGGTGGTTGGGGGTTGGCTCCGAACGGATCAGACGCCTAGTTGGTCAGATGCGCTCTCATGCACTTTGTCTAGTGGGCGATTGAACATGGCCCTACAAGAATTAGGGTTCTCAGTTTATATACTTTAATTTATTAATAACGTGTTTAGAATCGTCTTATTCTGTTTTTATAAGTCTCACTCTTATCCTCTGATGATTTAGCTGGAATGAACTTTTCTTTTTTTAAGCCTCCGATAATCGTTTGATGATAATCGTGTCAGCTCAAAGAGCCATAGATCTTGACAACGATAAAAACGTGGATTCTAGATATCAAAGGTTTTCTTTCACTTGATAATAAACAAATCATTACATTAGGACATAATTCTTTTTCCAATATTTATTCAAAAAATTCTTATGCTTTTTCTGCGTTTTCTAAATATGGGTTTTAATTTGTGTTTTATATATGGGTCTAAATATGGGTTCTAAACATCGGGGGCCTCAACTTGTTAAGTACGACCCTGTCAGCAGCATGATGAATTAATTAAGACAGTAATATGACCAGCGGCCGTGATAGATCAGTCTGAACCGACGAAAGCAGTGTTTAGGAGCAGGTACGCCTCTGATCATCAGTGTCTACAGTTCAAACCCTGTATATCCGCATATATAGGCCTTTCTGCTTTTTCATTCGATTATTCAAACAAACAAATTATTTGCTCGGCAACCGCCAGCTCTGATTGAATCGCCCAGATCTGCTAATGCAATTCATCATTTGCAGTTATTGGTACTACTCGGATGATGTGCTTTCTACACCAATGAAATGCCATTAACTTTGCTACTTTAAGGGCATGTACAACTCACAGACAGGGGTGTGTCTTCAAGAACCTCGAAGTTATCATCCAGACGGATATAAAGACAGCTCATACAACTCACAGACAGAGGGTCTGTCTGTAAGCTATTTAATGCTTTGCATGTAGCTTTGATAAACTAAAAATGCATTTGTGTATACCATTGTGTGGCTATATATTTGATATAATACTATCAAGCATGAATAAGATACATGATTACAATATTTTTTGGGAACCATAAATATAATAATTATATTACAATGCCTTTAGTCTAATTTTCTTTGTTTCCATAGCGTTGCCATATGTGCTCGATTAGATCCTTTTTTAGCTTCCTATGTGTTGGCCGAGCTTTGATAGCGGAATTTCTACGAAGTACCTCTGTGAAGCATGGATCTGGATTGTCGCTTCTTTGCACTTCAGGCGGGAGCACTATCGTCGCACTTGGATTATAATTCAAATCCAAGACATCTCTAATTGCTTCCTTCTCATCTTCCACTATCATATTGTGAAGGATGACACAAGCTTGCATTATGTTGATAACGTCCCCCTGCTTCCATAACCTTGCTGGTCGACGAATAATATCAAAGCATGATTGCAGCACACCAAATGCGCACTCGACATCTTTCCTCGCCCCTTCTTGCTTTAATGCAAATAATTTGTCTTCCGCCAACTGAGGGGCCGTCACTGTCTTCACGAATACTGCCCATTCTGGATATATTCTATCGGCAAGATAGTAACCCATGTCATATTGTGTTCCATTTACGTTGTAGTGTACCGTTGGAGCTTCCCCTTTTATTGCTTGAATAAATAGTGGCGACTTGTTTAGAACGTTTATGTCATTCTGAGACCCGGCGGTACCAAAAAAAAGCATGCCATATACGAAGATCTTTAGTTGCCACTGCTTCAAGAATCATAGTAGGAACGCCTTTGTTACCACTAGTGAACATGCCTGCCCAACCTTTCGGACAATTCTTCCATGGCCAATGCATACAATCGATGCTTCCGTACATTCCAGGAAAACCACGAGCCTCATTTTCTTGTAAGATTTTTTCCAATTCATCGGCTCTTGGCAGGCGTAGATATTCGTCACCAAACTTTTCAATCACCCCTTCAGCAAATTTTCCCAAACATTCCAAACAAGTGCTTGCAGCAATCCTCAAGACTTCATCAAGTTGATCAACCGCGGTTCCATAACCTAACATCCTGATAGCTGCTGTACACTTTTGAAGCGGTGAAAGACTATTCCTAACAGTTGCATCAACTCGTTGGATGAAATAAGGAGACCACTCACTAAGTTCATGTCCGATACGCAGAAAACAACGGCCGTCTCATCTTAAATCTCCTACGAAACATTTCATCGGTGTAGATAGGATTTGCGGAAAAGTAATTAGCGACAAGATCATCATGACCTCGTTCTCGATTTCTTGGTATGTACCTCCTTGGTCCACTCTGTCGACGACGGCGAGATACGGACGAAGCTTCTCCATCACCTGCAGCCTTGAATTCTTCTGCTGGCAACTCTTCGATGATCTCATCCTCTGCTAGCAACTCTTCTACAGTGAACACTTCAAAATCGTCGGCTTCTAGGAAGTCATCATCTTCATGCGGCTCCATTTACAGAATGAAAAGGAGTAGAGGGTACGGGATGGCAGGGGATGTACAATAAAGCCTGATTTTTATGACCCATGGCAGGGGATGTACAATAAAGCCTGATTTTTATGACTTTGTAACACTGAAATTAGTTCTAACACAGAACATAGTAGGCATTCAGATGGGCAAAAACAAGCATATTATATGTTCTCTTGTGATGTAAGGGGCAATTTTTAACCCACAAGAATCATTAGCAGTTCATGAATCAAACATCCATAAGGAAACAAATCACACAAGCATATTTTGCTGGAACAAAGAACAAGAATCAAAGATTACCATGATCCAGGAGAAGATTCATCACCACCGGACGCATCCAACCAAGCTGAAGAGCTGGGGAATCCACCTCCGTAGGATCCATCAAAAGGTGGAGGGAAGGGAAATCCATCCATGGACGCTGAATAACTGGGGAAACCACCTAGAGGGATTGCTGCCACTGCTGGCCCGCCACCGCGGCCGAGAGAGCGGGGCGGCGGCGCTAACCCGACACCGCGGCCGCCACGACTGAAGGGGAGAGCCGCCGTCGCCGACCCAACACCACGACCTAGGGTACGGGCTGGGGCTGCCGCCGCCGCATCCGAGGCCTCAGGTGTGCCTCCCTTCTTCTTCCTACCTGCAGCCGCCGTGGACATCTCAGCAGCACCCAAATCAAGCGAGGGGAGTTGGAGATTGGGGGAGTGGGAGATTGAGAGAGATTGCTGCGCTATATGTTGGAGCAAATTTCCTGGATTGGGGGAGTGGGAGGGGAGTTCGACGAACCTGGATTTCGCGGGGAAATTTCCCGCGCGCGCGCTCTCCGCGTGGGATCCTGTCGCGCCGTCGCCTCGGGACGGCGAGCTCGTACAACGGTGCTGAGCTTGCCTCTTCCGCCTCGGAGCACGGGTCGTCGCCGTCGCCTCGCGAGAGGACGCAGCTCCCGTCGCTTGACTCAACCGGGGGGTTTTTTTTGCATAAAAGACATCACAGAGACGGGGCAAAAAGACCCGCTGTACGTGCCCTTATGGGGTTCATCCAGTACATCGTTCAGGTGACTCCTTCCTTTCATCTATCCACATTCTCAATGGATTTGGTTATGATTTTCCTTTTTCAATAATACAGGAACTTGAATTGAGCACTACTTTAGTCATTAGTTTTTCTATTGTGCTGTGTGCGTGCTCTAAAATCTGCACTTCGTTTCTCCATGTACGTTAGGAAATAGTGGAATTGGTTTTTTACCCCTTCGAATCGACATTATCTTTTTTTCTCAGAAGAAAATGTATTTGAAGCTATTGTCTTTGTGAATTCGTCTATGATGTTACCCACTTGCCTGACATAATCTAGTCAATAGTGTAGGATCATAAAGGGCATTTTTCACCTCAAAAACTAGCCAATAAGATGAGGGGTTTCCTCATTTATATATTAGGTTTTTTACACTTCCACAACCAATATGGAAATATTCAACAATCTCCTCCTTCACACATTGGTGTCCTTCAGCCGTTCACCGTATTTCCACAGTCCCTCAAATATATAGGCCCCGCAGACACCCACAGTCTATATATCAGGCCTTCGCATACTTTGTCTCGTATTTCCACAGTCCCTCAAATATATAGGCCCCGCAGTCCGCAAACACCCACAGTCTATTAGGCCTTCGCATACTTTGTCTCTCAGGCCGGAGATGTAGAACTAGTCAGGCTATAATATCAATTGTAGGATCGTAAAGGGTTTTTTCCATCCCAAAAGCTAGCCAATGAGATGAGGGGCTCCCTCACTTATATACTAGGTTATTTGTCATGACACAACCAATGTGGGACTATTCAACAAATACTGAATGCCTAATGGTTGCTGAAGATAATTCTTGGTAAGAAAATCATTGTTTCTTTGGCCAAAATCTTTCTCAGACATCTCTCCAACATCTAGCTTTCCTTTGTAATGTGCAGATTCTCTTTCCTTGCTGATACCCATTGTCAATCCATTGCAAGAACAAGTCATAATTTTCCAGCTGGGACATGTCTTTGCTAGCGTTCTCTGTAGCTCAGCTATGCTTTTTTTAATACAACTCTAATTACATGATTTTTAGATAATGTGAATGATTTACATCTCCGGTCTCTACCAACAGACACACACGGCCAATGAGTCAAGAAAAGATAAATAAGAATACTCGAGGTTATATATGGGACAAACACTATCTCCCTCCTGATTATATCCAACCGAAATACCGAATAGAGAACATATAGAACGCATATCATAATATTTTACAGGAATTACGCCATCCAAAATAGAACAAAAGACCCATCTATCTATCTA